ATTTATATGGTTTCTCCCCTGTGTGGATCCTTTCATGGGAAGTAAGTTGCCTGTTTGTTCTAAAACATTTTCCACATTCCAAACATTTATAAGGCTTCTTTTTTGTGTCAATTGTTTTTTGAGATGTAAGGAAGTTATTCCCAAGAGAAAGAATGAATGTCCCATTGTAATTCTCTCCATTGTGTCTTCTTATAGCATCTTCTCTTTTGTTTTGGGTTAAATAGGGTTCATTTACTTGTACTTCAGCTTTGATTAGCTTCACACTTTTTCCAGTATATTTTTTCCTTATTTTCTCTTCTTGGGCAAGAAAGTCTCGCATCGGAGCATCACTGGAAGGTGAGCTTTCCTGATTCCAATTCATTGACTGGTTTCTCTCTAGGCTTTCAAATTCCATTTGAATTCCAAACTTCTCCGTTCCATCTTTAGCACTGATCACTTGGAACAGTTCACAGGAATCTTGATTCTCCTGCCCATTATTACCTTCAAACAAAAGGGAAATGAAAATGATAACAAGGTTAGAGAAAAAGATCAAAGTGTAGAAAGTAAAGTGAATTTCCTTCTGAATTTCTCAGAAATTCCATTAGGTTGTATGTTTGTATGCCTACAGTGGTGTGATATAGATATGATGATTTCTATATTAATGAGTCATGAAAGCTTTGAAAATATCTAGAAAACAGCAGTGCCTCTGCATTCAATCATAAGCGTGAATGATAACCATGGTGCTGGAACACCCATAATTTCGGGACTGGGTCTCAAGTACTTGGGGGAGAGCTGGTCGTAACATGGAAGAGTCGCTAAGTGAATTGTTGTAACTCAGGGACTACCTGTACCATAGGATGCTCTGAGTCACACTGCATCAGGCCTTTGCTCTTGAATTGAATTGGGGGAGTGCTCTTCCATGGCCTGAGCGTGAAAGTTCTGTTCTCACACAATTTGGAGAGGTTCCAGGGGACAAAATGACAACACACTCCTCTCACACGACCTGCAGGGGACACCCGGAGCACACCTCCTTCTTTTCGCTCAAACAGAATTTCAAATTGAAATGGAAAAATGCAGATAAGAAATGGCACAGAAAGCAGCTAAGCAAAGAGACATTGACTCTTTCCTTCCTTGGAGCATCACAAGGCCAGATTCTTTCCTTCCTCCTCCCAGGAGACGATATTTGATTAGTGTTTTTTAAATAAAAAAACTATAATCTCTCTTCTTGATTGGAGACTAGAAAACTCTTACCCAGAGAGACCACATTCCTATGGTTTTCAAGCATGACTTCCGAATGCAGCGCTTTCTGGTCAGGATCCAGCTGAGACCATTCCTCCTCAGAGAAATACACAGCCACCTCCTCGAAGGACACAAGACCCCCCTGGACATGGAAAAAAGAACAGAACAGGAGGATTCGCAAGATCTGTTCATCTTCATCTTCATTGATTTAGAGGATAGAAGGGGAACTCATCAAATTTGCAAACAAGACCAGATTGACAGGAATACCAGCACTCCAGAAGATAAGCTCAAGATATAGAAGGATCAACAGACTGGGCCCCATCTAACAAAGTAAAATCAACAGTGAGAAATGTAAGGTTCTACATTTAGGAAAGGAAAACCAAACGCAATGGCATAGAATAAGTGATACCTGGCTCAACAGTAGTAAGTGCAACAGGGATCTTGGAGTCCTAGTGGACAACCACTTAAACCTGAGTCAGCACTATCCTACAGGTGCCAAAAAAAACCCCAACAGAATCATAGGCTGCATTAAGAGGGATAGAATCAAGATGACATGAAGTGTTAGTACCACTTTATAATGCCTTGGTAAGACCACACTTGGAATATTGCATCCAGTTTTGGTTGCCAGATGTAAAAAAGATCTTGAGACTCTAGAAAGAGTGCAGAGAAGAGCAACAACAATTATTAGTAGACTGGAGGCTGAAACATATAAAGAACGGTTGCTGGAATTGGATATGTCTAGTTTCATGAAAAGGACTAGGGGGTGACATGATAGCAGGGTTCCATGAAGCAATGGATGGAAACTATTCAAGGAGAGAACCAAGCTACAAGTAAAAGAAAGTTCCTGACAGTGGGAACAATTAATCACACGACTTGGCTCCAGAAATTGTGGGTGCTCCAACATTGGAGTTGTTTATGAACAAATTGGACAGCCATTTATCTGAAATGTTATAGGGCTTCCTGCCTGAGCAGGGAGTTGGACTATAAGATCTACCTGCCAACTCTATTATTCTGTGCCATTGTTCCCAAATCCCCAAATCAGAGATGTTCACTAATTTAAATGGCTGTGGATCACACAAGGCCTAATTTTAGGTGAGCAAATGGGCAAAGCTGAAAATTGCTTTCACTGAAGACATATTTGGAGAAGTTTTATCTAATTCATTGATTCTGCAAAACCTTCAGTGCCTTTCAGCAAAGTAATCCCACTTCTGGATCAACTGATCTATCGTTCTATCATTGATTGACACAATAGTCTGAGCCATTGACTGAAAGGAAGAAAACAAAGAAGAGAAAATTCCCTGGGAAAGTCATTTTTCATCCTTTGCAAAGCGGGAATGTTTGATCTCCTAATCGAGGCGTAAATCAGAGGATTGGAAATTATTTTGTAGCCCAAAGTACCGTGATTACATGCTCAACACGGCCACTCCCTTTGGATTTTAATAGTCTGCTTTATTTTTTAATATGACTTGCTTAATTTTGAACTCCAGGTTGTAAATAAGGCTTTTTAAAAATTGTAATCTGGCAGTGTATTTATTTTTCATTAGCATTGCACAATTCCAAGTCAAAGAATAACCAAAAAAGGTCTCTAGCAGTTCCTGCCACTGTGATACCATTTATTCCTATTTCTTGAAGGACCTTTAAAAAATTGGTTCTTGTAAACTCCAAGTTGGAGGAGAACCTAGCAGAACAAGATAACCAGAGGAAGCTATGCTGGCTGACAGCAACTTGAACCTACTATTCTGCTTTCCATGTTGTGAAAGACCAGAAAAATAATCCAGGCCAAACAAGGGGGGGAAATAGAAGGAGAGCACTATGCACACCCGCTTCCCTTCCTGAAAGGAGAATACAAATCTAATATCCTTTCCCTTTCTTACTTGGTTTGGAGGTTCAATCGCTGTTTGATCTCCATCATAAAAACCAGAAAGCTTCATTCTTTGCTCCTCTGTAAGGAATAATTTCAAAATGTATAATTAACAAAATAGGAGGAGGTATTCTAAAGGTGAGAAGAGAGAGGGAAGGGAAGACAGATGGGGAATTGGAGGATCTTCCATTACCTCCTGAGGTGTCCTGATTTTGGTCTTCCCAAGGGCTCCTCCGGAAAAATAGCTCCTGAGGGGGATTTGGTGGGTTCTTCTTTCCCTCAGGATCTCTGATCTCCACAGTGTAGCACTTCAAACAGGAGGAAGGAAAGAAGAAGCAGAATTAATGTATGTCACACGACATAACGTGGATTCTTATATTCAGAAAAACAACCCCAAAGCCCCCAATATCCATCCACGTGGCTGAGTGATAAAAGAATGGAACAATGTCCTACAAGAACTGGGAAATTGCCTCATATTATGAATGTGGGAGAAGGAGGGGTGAAGTATTCAAGCACTCTCTCGGTTTATTCCCTTCCTCCTCCTTTTTTTTTTTAAAAAAAGATGGCGACAGCGGCTGCATGGGTTTGTAGATGGTGCTCCGAAATATTTTGCATTTTGATGAATTTGGATTGTAGAGATTACTATGTGGAAGTGGAAGAGTGTGTAAAGGGAAAGGCAAGAAAGAAACAATCTTGATAAACTAACTGTGAGGCTGGAATTGATTTGAAGCGACATAGAGTTGAAGAGACTGATAGACCAAGAACTGGTACAGTGGAATGGCCAGAAAGTGACAGTTGGAAGGTGAGACGCAGAGTCAGACAGAGGAGGTGGACGATTTTACGATAGTGTGACTTCCCTGATCTCCCCTGACTGAAGCTAAACCCTGTCTGAGAACCCAAGAGTCAGCAGCTGCAGTTCTGAATTAATGGTGTGGGTCATCTGATGGAGGCAGAGCTGACAGAAGAGACAAGCTTCTCTGGCCTTTGTTGACAGCTGGGCCTACTCATGGTTAATAACTGTGGAGAGTGGCAGGCTGCCATTGGGATTTCCTGAGGTTAACTGACGAGTGGGAGCTTGGAACTGTAAACTTCATGAGGCATTGTAGGACAACAAAGCTGCTAAATTTCCAATGCAGCATGGCAAGCCTTTCTGGCTATTTTTTCTAGCTACCATTTACAGTTTTACTTCTGCATTCTTGTGGGTGTTCTGTGGTCGGTCCTGGGAGGGTTGCTTGGAGGATCCTGGGAGGGTTGCTTGGGGGATCCTGGGGGGCGTTGCTTGGGGGATCCCAGGGCTGGGGAAAAGTTGAATGAGAGTATGTTGGTCCCTTTCCCCCAGGTGAGAGCTGGGGGGGGGGGGGGGGAGTGGCTTCCTGCTTGGTGGGTGAGAGCAACTGGGCAGGGTGCTGTTTATGCATCGAGTGGACGTATTCTGACTATATTAGGAGATAAGGGGAGCTGGATGTGACCCCTCTGCAGCAATTAAGGAGTGATGTGAGTTTGAGGGCACTGAGAGCAAATGCTATAGTGCCTGTAAAGCTCACCTTGCCCCCAACAATCTGTCAGTGGAAGTACATATTTTCTTTTTTCCCTTTTTAAAGAAGAATGTTGGGGATGGGGGATGGAATGGTTCTCAGGGAAGGCAGAGGAGGGCGTCCTATTTCAGTGGTGTCGAGTAACAGGAAATATGGGAGACAAGGGAGAGGGCAGGCACAGGGGACACAATCTCCGTGTTTAGTGCCAATCTCATGTTCTGCTCCATTGCACTCACCTCATTTTCCTGGTCGGTAGATCTGTGGTGGCCCTGGTCTTAAACTGCTGCTTTTAAATGTGAGATCAGCTTGCAATAAGGCCAGGCTTATTGCCAACTTGATCCTCGAAGAGAAGGCTGATCTGGCTTGTATAACTGAAACTTGGCTGAGCCCAGAGGGAGGCGTTCCTCTTGCAGGAATGTGCCCAGTGGGTTATCGAGAATGGCACCAGTCTAGACCTCAGGAGGAGGTCTGGGTGTTGTTATCAGAGAATCTCTAGTAGCCTCCAGAGGTGCTGTTCAACACGTCCCCGGCTGTGAGACCCTTTTTCTTAGATTGGGCTCAAGGGATCAGGTGGGATTGCTGCTGCTATACCAACCTCCCTGCTGCGTGGCAGCTTTCCTACCTGGGCTCCTGTGCCTCACCGCAGGACTGGCAGTGGAATTCCCCAGGCTTATAGTTCTGGGGGATTTCAACTTGCCTTTTCTGGGGTCAGAGGTAGCCCGAGATTTTATAGAAACCATGACTTCCATGGGCCTGTCCCAGATTATCCAGAGCCCGACTAGTAATAGTGGTCACACTCCCGATTTGGTGTTCTTGTCGGAGCAGTGTCTATGTGACCTGGAATTAGTAGACCTCTCCTTGGTCCCCTTGTCATGGTCAGATCACAGTCTGGTGGCAATGAGTTTCTCAAAAGCTGCATCCCCCCGCAGGGAGGCAGGACCTATTAGATTGGTCCGCCCCCCATCGACTGATGGACCCAGATAGGTTCCAGAAGGAGCTGGGGGTTATAACTATTATGCAGTCCAGCCGAGCTCTTAGTCACTGTTTGGAATAGGAAGGTGACTGAGGCTCTGGATAGGATTGCACCCTTGCGACCTCTCCTCACCCATAAACCTCTCTGTGCACCATGGCATACAGAGGAACTGAGAGGGATGAAACGCATGAGGAGACGTCTAGAGCGCCGCTGGCGGAAGACAGGAGATGAACTTGATCAAACACGGGTAAGAGCTTCTACTAAGGCCTACCTTGTGGCAATTTGTGAGACAGAGTGTAAATACTCCTCCACACTAATTGCGTCTGCAGATAATCGCCCAGCGACCCTCTTTAAGGTGAGCCATCTCCTCTTAGGGAAGGAGATTGAGGTCCACCTGAACCTGAAGGGGCACGCTGAGGAATTTGCAGATTTTCTAGAAGACAAAATCGCTCCACTTTGTTCCCAGTTAGACACCGGCGTGGTTGCTGATCTGGTGGAAGTTTTTGAGGCAGGTTCTTGCCCTGTTATCTGGGAATGGTTTGACCCTGTTGCTTCTGAGGAAGTGGACAGGATCCTAGGGAGTATGCGCGTGAGCACCTGTATTTTAGACCTATGTCCCTCCTGGCTTGTGAAAGCTTCCCCGGAGGTGACAGACGGGTGGACTCTGGCGGTGATTAATGCTTCTCTACAGGAGGGGATGGTGCCTCAGCACTTTAAGGAGGGTGTGGTCCGCCCTCTTCTTAAGAAGCCATCGCTGGATTCCACCTGGTTGGATAATTTCCAACCTGTCTCCAATCTTCCCTTTTTGGGGAAGGTTGTTGAGAAGGTGGTCGCGCAGCAGCTCCAGAGGAAACGGATTATCTCGACCCCTACCAGTCAGGATTCAGGCCTGGATTTGGGACAGAAACAACATTGGTTGCACTTTTGGATGATCTCTGGCAGGATCGGGATGGGGGTAGCGCATCCATCCTTGCTCTACTTGGCCTCTTGGCGGCTTTTGATATCATTGACCATGGGGTTCTCCTGGGATGGCTTCAGGGGATGGGAGTTCCTCTGCAGCCGCTCTCAGTCAGTGTTGATAGGAGGACAGAGATCCAACCCTCGCCCACTGCTTTATGGGGTTGCACAGGGCTCGGTACTCTCTCCGCTCCTGTTCATTTATATGAAACCGCTGGGTGAGATCATCCCTCACCATGGACTGAGGTATCACCAATATGCTAATGATACTCAGCTGTATGTCTCAGCCCATGGTAAGTTAAGTGTTGCTGTGTCCTCCCACTTGCAGTGCCTGGAGGCTGTTAGGGTCTGGATGGGGAGCAATATGTTGAAACTAAGCGCGTGCAAGACCGAGTAGCTCTGGGTCTGGGGTTCGTTGGTTCAGGGAGAATTACCACCTTTAGTCTTGGATGGCGTGGCACTACCCCAAATAGACCCTGTGTGTAATCTAGCAGTTTTCCTGGACTTATGACTCCTACTTGAAGAGCAGGTGACAGTCATGGCCAGGAGGACCTTTATGCATCTGTGAGTTGTGTGCCAGTTACGCCCTTTTCTGGACCAACAGTCCTTACTCACAGCCACCCATGCCCTAGTCACTTCCTGTCTTGACTATTGCAATGTGCTCTACGTAGGGCTGCCCATGAAGAGCATCTGGAGGCCCCAGTTGGTGCAAAATACAGTGGCCCGAATGGTTTTGTGCGAACCCAGTGTGCATATATATCACCTCTCCTGCAGGAGCTGCATTGGCTGCCAATTTGCTTCCGGGTGCAATTCAAGGTGGTAATTGTCACCTTTAAAGCCCTTCATGGCTTGGGTCCAGGTTATCTGAGGAAACATCTCTTGCCAGTGACATCTACCCAACCCATTAGAGCGAAGAGGCAGGGAATGCTGCGGGTCCCACCTCTGAGGGAGATACATCTGGTGGGACCTAGAAGAAGGGTTCCCCCAGGGATTAGAATGGCCCCCTCATTAATACTATTCCAAAAGACACTGAAGACCTGGTTTTGCCAGGGGGCCTGGGGAACCCAGAGAGGGATGGAACCCATCAAATGGCTAGTGTGATCCGCTGTCGTCAGGGTGGGGAGCTCGTTTTGTTTTTGTTGTTTTTTGTTTTCCCAAATTTTGTTCTAGTGTACTTTACTAATTTATTTGATTCTTTTTGTTAGTTCTTATTGTTTTTATTTTTATTTTTGTTTTAAATATGATTTTACATTGTGTAAGCCGCCTTGAGTAGCCATGGGCAAATAGGCGGCAATATAAATCAAATAAACAAACCAATAAATAAATAAAGTCTCCCACCTGCCACTGGAGCTGCTCCTTCTGCTCCTCCGCCTGGCTCAGGAGGAAGCCTTCCGCCAGGGCCACCGCCTGGGAGCTGCTGTCTGCTCCACACTCCCGCACCCAGCCCTCCATCTCTGGGGGCAGGAGAGCCAGGAGACGCTCCAGAACCACCAGGTCCAGCATCTGGGCTTTGCTGTGTTTTGCTGGGTTCAGCCATCGCCTGCACAAGTCATGGAGTCGGCTGCAAAGTCCTCGGGGACCCTCAGCCTCATCCCGGCATCGGATGGAGGTCCAGGGCGGAACTTCTGAAGGGAGGTTAGTTCCCTCCTGCAGGACCTTCTGCCCAGTTCTGGTCCAGCTCTCCCCACAGCTCCCAGGCTGAAGAGCCGCGGGGCCTTTTCCACTCCCCTCCTTGGCCAAAGGGGGTGTCTCCATCCTTCCTCTCTCTGGCAGAGCAGCTCCAAAGGGCTCCAGGGACTCTGGGGGGTCTCCAAGGCCCTCTTCCTTCATGGGACCATTTCTGGGTTCGCAGGACGGATCCCTGTTGGTCCTACCGCGCTCTCTCTCTCTTCCTTCCTTCCTTCCTCTGTGGAGTAAATCCTGGCTTGCAAAGGCTGTTGAGGGCTCTGAAGTTCTAGAACTGGGAAAGAAAAACCGACGCCCAGGATCAGAAAGGGGGATTCAGCCCCTGGACCCCCTTCCCCTAACCTGCCCGCATACCCAAGCGTCTCCTCCTAGCGCAGGGCCTAGGAGCCCCCGAGCAGGGCCTGGAAGGAGGCAGCTGGAGTGGCCGCCCCCTCCCCCCCCTCCGGAGACAGGATCAGGCTCTCGGGGAACCCGGTTCGAATCCTGCCTCGTCCTACTCGGCCGGCTTCTATCCTCTACTGCTGGGCCTCCGCCAGGCCCACCCACCCCTCCCCACCTTCGCATGGAGAGGGCGGCGGCTGGAGAGCATGGGATCCGAGAAGAGCCCCCCCCCCCCCACCCGAGGTACGTCTGAATGTCTCCCTGCAAGACTCTCCCGCGGGTTGTCCGACTGCTGCAGCGCCCCAGCGAGTAAAGAGAGAGAGTGCGGCGTCCTAGAGAGGCAAGGCTCAGTGATGTCACTTCCTTTGCCGCCTCCTCCTCTGGGAAGGCAGCCGTGACGTTCACCCTCTTGTGGCCCAAAGGGCCTGGAGTTGCCTTCCTTGGTGGAGGGCTCCCCCTGGTGGATCTGGGGCAAAGTGCCAGGATGGTAGAAAGGCAAAGAGGAGCACATCGGAGCCCATGGGAGGGGGAAGGGAGAGGGCGGGGATGATGGGCTTGGGAGTAGGAGGAAAGGCCCCTCTCCATGGTTCCCTGTCAGACAAAGGCTTTGGCGTCTTTTATATGAACCCAAATGCCTCGAAGGAGGTTTTCGTCTGTGTTCTGTGGCGTTTCTAGAGCAGTTTGGTTATTTCTCATGTATAAAGTGCAACTCCACTTCCGCCTCTTTCATTAGGTCCACTTCTATATTTATTTAGAGGAGAGGTGAGATAAATCTTTGTGACAATCCCTGAGATATTGGAAGATGCCCCCATGTCTCCCCTCGTCCTTCTTTTCCTCAGACCAGACACACCCAGTTCCAGCAACCAGTTTTTAAAATATCTTTTAGCCTCCATCTTTGTTGCTCTTCTCTACAGTCTTTCCAGAGTCTCAAGATCTTATTTATTTATTTTACAAAACACAAAGAAAAATAGAAATAGCAAGTTAAGGGAAGGAAAAAGAGGGAAAAAGAAAGTCTGAGGTACAAGAAAAAAAAAAGGGGGGGGGGGGGAATGCTGATTTCTTTTTAGCAGAGTGCTAGATTTTAAAAAAATAAACCATTCCAGCCTGACAATTCAATCTAATGGACAAAAGCAAAGTCATTTGAGGTCTTTTTCTTTTGAACACTTTAAATGTGAAAATATCCCATTTAATGGCTGGAGAAGGAAAGCGCACAAAGGTCCCAAACTCCCTGTTGTGGCTGAGGGAGGGAGGGCTCCCGCCTGAGGGTATCTGCACTCTGATTGGTTGCTGCGGGTG